CTGCGCGCGCCGGTCCGGCGTGGCGGCCTTGCATCCTCGAGGAGGATGCAGGAGGCAGCAGGAGGGTGCCCGGAGTCCTGCCAGCCCTGCCTGTGTCTGCCCGCCCCCAGACGAGGAGCAGGAGCCTGCAGAGAAGCAGCATCTTCAGGAAAATATCACGTCCAATTAACTCCAGCAGCCTGGTCCCTTTTGATTTTATTCTGTGCGCATTACAGGAATCCTGAGCTTTATTTAAATTATAAATCAAATAATACCACTCTCGGCTTGGCCAAACTCTTTGCTGCTCTTGCTCTCTGCAGTAATGTAGCGGTGGCTTATATTTAATTAAATGTTACTTTCTATGTGCCCTCCTTCAGCCTGCACTGCTCTGCCGTCAGCCTGGGGCTGGGCATGTGGCTGGGGGGTGCAGGATGCGTGCTCCCATAAGGGAGCGGGATTCACGTGGAGCTGGGAGTGATGGGGAGCTTCCCGAGCTCCCTCCGTGCTAACATCACGTTTCGCTGTGCGAGCGTGCCACCTCTCACCGTGCGCATCCTTCTGGTAGGGCTGGATCCGGAGCCCAGCCCCACTGGCCTCATGCCGGGGGTCCCGTGGGACCTCACACCTCGGCCCCGTGGGGATGGTGTAAGAAATGGCTTTTAGGGAGTGGCGTGAGCCCTGCCAGGGCTCCGGCTGGGTTATTAAAATGCTAATGAGAGGTGATGGCTGGGGCTCAGAGAGCAGCAAAGTGCTGGGGACCCGGCTCCAGGGTCACCCACACCTCTCCCCACTCACCCATGGGGACTCTCATCAGTGATAGAACTGTTTAATTGCATATGGGATAAAGCCCCGTTTAATGGCTTCTCTTTACCCAATTCTACTTATTCCAAGGGCATCTTCATTAAAGTAGCTGCAGCAAGGCTCTGCTTTTGTACACACCCATAAAATACCATTTTAATTTCATGAGGGGTTACACATGAGTGAAATAAGATTAATTCTTTCATTTTCAGTTTCTGGAAGGGATCGGTTAATGATGGTTCTGTGTATTTATATAAGTGCCATAAAAAGGAGTTCAATTAACTGCCGTGCCCAAAATGTGCTGTTGACTTGCACTTTCCCTGCCAGAAAACGCTGCAAAAACACTTTTCCATCGATCACGTGCGCGGTGGGGATGCATGGGTGAGGGGGGGCTGCTCAGCACCGGGGCAGCCTCTCCAGGTGGGACCACCTCCCACCAGGTCAAAGCCTTGGCCTTTGGGTGGGCTTCACTGGTAACGCCCCGGCACATCGGGGCTGTTTTGGTTTGTGTCCAAACTTTCCAGGACCGCACCGGTCCATCGGCCGCGGAGCAGGTTCCCAGGCACTGGCGGGGCCCCCCGGGGCTGCAGACCCCGGGG